CAACTCGGGTTTAAGGTACGGGATTACCTTTATTATATTTTTGGTATGTTCACTGTAACACCGGTAGGCTGTAAGTTTCCGAATACAATTTCATCAGATATCAATGTTTCGTATTTATCTGTCTATTGACTATTTGTTTTTTTTTTTTTTTTTTTTTTTTGGAAGCCGATGATTGCGCTGTGGGTATCATTGGGATGAATTTGAAGTCCTGATGGCAAAAACACGATTTTTTTATGTCAATTGCATACTTTGTTTGTGTTAGGATTGCGTTTGACACTATATTTATGTATAATTTTTTACAACATGTAATGTTTGAAGAGAAATAAATATAGACGTTTGCAGTATGGTGGCCCGTCCAACTCGGAAATAGTTCCTCATGTGAAAAAGATACCAGAAGAAGTGGAACACCATTTTTCATGAGAAAACTTGGGCTTTTGGGGAGAGACACAAGGGCCGTTCTATCCTATCTTAATATCAAATCTCTAATTATTATGAATACTGGAAGCGCGAAATTTGAAAACAATCACCTATTATTTCATATGTTTTAAATAACTTGGGCCTGATAAAAAATTTAGATTTTTCATGCTTGAAGGAAGTCGGATACTCCCTTGCTCTTTGTGAGATATTCTAATTTTATTATTTTGTCAATTTTTTACCATTTATAGAGGTACAAGAAGGAAGGGGTGGAACATAACACATTTTCGAATTTGATCATATTTAACAATAAGTAAAAAAGCAGCTAAGTTCGGCCGAACTTTTTATACCCTCAACCATTCGGAAGGAACTTAAAAATTACAACAAGTAAAAAAGCAGCTACCCTCCACCATTAGGAAAAACTTGAAAATTTTCCAAAAAAAAATCAGCCGGAAAATGCACCTCATATTGGGGTTATACGAAGGCGTGGTCCTGCATAAGTAATTTGAGTCATAGGCTGTAGTAACTGTTCCGAACTTGATATACGAAATTTGAAACAACTCCGGTGAATAATGTCGCAAAAATCATGAAAATACCGAATATCTAGGGGTACCGTTATATGGGCGCTATACTTAAACGTGGAACTATTTCGATAATTCTCTTCTAGGGGGTAAAGTACTCAGAAGGAACCCCTTGTGTGGAATTTCAGACAATTCTATTGAAAAATTATATACGGGATATACGATATCGGGGACCTATACAGACTTTTCTCTTTTAGGGGTAAAGTGCTCAGAAGAAACTTTTTGTGTGTATTTTCAGATTCCGAACTGTAGTAACGATTCCGAACTTTAAATACGAAATTTGACGTAATTCCGGTCAATAATGTCACGAAAATCCTGGAAATACCGAATATCACTGGGTAGCGTTATATGGGTACTCTTCGACAATTCCATTGAAAAATGTGGTTAAAAGCATCAAAGTACCGAATAATGAGAAGCACCGTTACATGGGGGCCTTTTGATATCGTGGACTGATATAGCCCATCTTCGAACTTGACATGCCTGCACACATAATACCGATTTGTGCAAAATTTTAGCTTCCTAACTTAATTCGATTTGACTCTAGCGTGATTACATCAGGCGTCTTAGAATTTTTCGCTGATCAAGAATATATGTACTTTGTCGGGTCTAAAATTACTTTTTCGATGAGTTACAGACTGAATGAGGGCTAAAATCATCAAAATACCAAATATCGGGGGTACAGTTATATGGGGCTATACGATATCGTGGACCGATAAAGCCGACCGATATCGAACTTGACCTGCCTGCAGACAAAATGCAGATCTATGCAAAATTTTAGCTTCCTTTCTTAAATCGTTTTGACTGTAGCGTGATTACAACAGACAGATTTTGTCATTCCGTTTGTAACTCCTCAAATTACTCATGTTGGACCTAACAAATTCTTGATCAGCGTATAATTCCACCTTCCGTGACACAACATTGTCCATATAGGTTCACGTTTTCTTATTTACCCTATATGATTGTACATCCTACTATTCGATATTTTGATAATTTATCACATTTTCTAACAGGATTGCCTTAAATTCGGTACTTAGAGTCTGCAACGGTTCCACCTTCTGTGGCAGAATATTGTATAGGTTCACGTTTTCCTATAACCCATATTTTTCGTACTTTCCGATATTCGATATTTATAATCGTTTAAAATTTTGTGTGTAGAGTTTGTAATGGATTATGTCTTCTGTTGCAAAAGACAGCTTGAATAGGCTCATTATTTATTTTATGACTCATAAGACGTTAACTCTAAATATTTGGTATTTTGGCGATTAAAGACATTTTTTAATTTGGAATTTGAAGCTAGATATACATCTCAACCGCAAAGCTTTACGGAATTGTTTGTATTTTATCAACTGATTTCACAGCAAAAAATGGAAGTGGAAGCATTTGTACTGTATTTTTTAGTTTTAATTTTTTAATTAAAGAATGAAAAGAAATGTATACTAAATACTTTTATTCACTAAATGAGATTTTTTTACTTCACAAAAACAAATTTAAACTTTTTATTTCATATTTTCATTTTCGAATTTTCCTACTGCTTGCAAATTTTTTTCAGTATATTTTCGTTATTAAGAATTGAAACCTTTTTCTATTGAGTAAGTGTCCGATCTCTGCCCACAATTTTGTAATATTTTCAAAGAATATGTTATTACGCGAATATTTTATGGATAATAATATTGTTGAAGAATTCTGGTCTTTACTCAGAATTCCGATGTTGAATTCCCAAAAAATTGAAACAATCAAATTTTTGGGGGCAGTGAAGAATGGGATGCTTTCTAGCACGTTCTTTCAACTCGCCTTCAGGGGTGTGGATGGCTAGGTCAAGATTTGATACATTGCCAGTCTTCTGGTTTTGATGAAACATTTCTCCCACGCTCTCTCGCCAACCCATGATTTTGGCACTTGATTGAACCAAGCTACTGTTACCACCTTCTTAATGCTTCCTGCGGATAGTTCACACTGTATTACAGCTTATATGTCAGTGTCGTACTGGAAAATGGTTCTTTGTGACGGCATGTAGCTCCTTCAAACATTGTGGCCATCATGTAGAAGGTTACCACTTCGTCAGCAACGTCATATGTCAGGGAGACATCCCTTTCGTGGTCACTTTCTTTGACCACATTCTTATGGCTGGAGTTGTGTAGAATTCGGCCATGATGGATCATTGAATGATGCTTTGTGCTGCAACGTTCACATCTGTGGGGCGAAGGGCATACTGAGCGGTGGTGACCATCTCCTTCTGAGAATAACTTTTTTTTCGGAATGTCAAACAATACTCCAGCGGATGGTTCCGGCCACATAGGAAACACCGTGGTTTTGGGTTGTTGGAATCCATATTGTATTTGTGAATAGAAAGAAAGGAAAAGACAAACAAATCTAGAGAAAGTAGCCAGGAAGGCTAAGAGGTCGGAGCAAGCCTCAAGATGGACAGCTCGAGTACAAAAACTGCGGCGTATCCTTTCAGCGAAGTCCACTCCCATGAGCTTGTAAATAATGCACTTCGTGCATTCTCTTATGCACTTTCTTATGACACTTGGAATATAATTCGCCTGTTTTATGGGTCTTAGCATAATGTTGTAATGTTTGAGTGAAGCAAAGGTTCGTGTGTATATTGGATTAAAAGTTTTGTTAGGCCACATTTTATGGGTAAAAGGACAGGGTGTCTCATCACAACTCAACCCAGAGTTATTCAATCTTCCTCCTACTCGAATGAGACCGTTTTCATCTAAGAAAGTGTTTAAACGAAGAAATGTACGATTATTACTAATTGGCTTGTCCGAAAGAGGTGTTCGTAATCAAGAGGATAAAATGTTTTTCGCGTCGAAACTATCATTCTCCGCTTAGCATCCATAATTTCTGCAGTCGTAATTGGATTTTCGGTAGTAAAAGATACCCCAGAGTGGGTTCGGCATCGACGTCGTTAAAAAAGACGAATAACTTGCACTATAGCTCTGATAGATCTATTGAAAGATAAAACCCGTTTGAATATGTCTTTCTCTGACCATGAAAATTTCTGGTCTTTATATTTAAAAATAAGAGCGAAGGTTGATTTCTTTTTCGTTTCTAGAGTTGGCGGTTTGAAAATTCTTGCTTTTTGCCATTCTTCTAATGGTTTCCGAAGCCAGGGTGGCCCATGCCACCATAGATAGTTTTTTTTGAGTTCGTATGGTGTGCAACCACAAGAACCAATATCTGCGGGATTTTCATTAATACTTACATGACGTCAATCTTCGCTGTTGCAAATTTCTTTAAGTGCCAAAATACGTTTTGCTACGAATGTTTTAAGTGACTGTGGATCTTTCTGAAGCCATCCAAGCACAATCGACGAGTCAGTCCAACAAAACTTTGTATAATCGTACCAAATATGCAAACCATTTATTAGCAGCGCCAATATTACAGCTCCACAAAGCTCAAATTTAGGGATTGTTAAACTCTTTGTTGGTTCGACTTTTGTTTTCGCTACCAGCAGGTGCCTGGTTGTCTTCGTTGGGTACTCAATTCGTATGTACACAACTGCACAGTATGCTTTCTCAGAGGCATCTGCCTATCCACCTCGAAAGGCTGCTTTCCTTAAAGTTCCAATAAGTTGAATTTGCTTCTTAAGAGCTTCCTCTAGACAATGTCCTCCAGAAAGCACGTCGTCCACATAGGACGCATACCTCAGAACCTCAGAAGACAGACTATCTGTCAATTTGCAATCTTCTCCAAAATGGTTTAAAGTCCTTATGGCCAAAAAAGGCGCACAGTTAATGCACAAATCAACTGTCTTCAATTGGTAGGTTTTGATGGGTTGCTCGCTGCTCGGACGATGAATTTCTATCTTTCGGATGCACCAATATCTACCAGTATATTTTTGTATATCACCGGTGAAGATATATCCATAAAATCTCCAAGAATTTATAATTTGCATTAAATCTGATATCAAAGTTGGTCCAAGGAGGAGAACATGTTTTAAAGAGTAGCCAAGAAAACAAATCATTGACCCATTTAATACAAATCTTTCTTTTGCAGACATGCTGTCAGGCCTTACAACCACATGGTGCGGCAAGTAAAACGATGATAGGTTCTCGTCCCCTTTCTCACGATGCTACACAGGCTCCATATGATCCAATTCAATTTATTCCTGTAGAACACGATTATACCCAGCTTTCAGCTCCGGAGACTTCCCTAAAGTTTTCTCCATACGAAAGTATTGAGCACTGGCACTATTCCTTGCACGTAGTTTTAATTCCGACACACCACTCAAATGATCAATGTTCACCTCTTGGGTCAAATCTTTGGCCCATTAAATACAAATCTTACTTTTGTTGACATGCTGTCAGGCCTTACAACCGCATGGTGCGGCAAGTAGGACGAGGATTGCTTCTCGTCCCCATTCTCACGATGCGACACAGGCTCTATATGATCCAGTTCAATTTATTCCTGTAGAACCCGATTACCTAGCTTTCAGCTCCGGAGACTTCTCTAAAGTTTTCTCCATACGAAAGTATTGAGCACTGGCACTATTCCTTGATGAACCTAAATAAATATCCTCTGGGTATTTTCTCGACGAAACGGAAGACGAATATATCGACCATTATCTTCTCGACAAGTTGTCTTATAAAAATCCTCGCAGTATGAATCATCATTTGTGTTAGGGATTCTTTCAAAATTTTAAACTTCCCAAAACTACCCAAATCTAGATTCTCTCGCTTCCAATTCTTTAGCGATGTCATATGGAATTCCTTCCATATTAATATTAGGCAAATAATCACATCCAATAATCATATTATGGTTTATAATAATTGGAATCAGCTCCGACACGCCAATCAAATGATCAATGCTCACCTGGTAGAAAATGCGATAACTTTGAAACTATTATACATCTTCAGGGAGAAGTCCGAATCTCTTTATTTCACCAACACACTGCTAAATCTAAGCGAACTCTCCACAAAATTTTCACGTAATCCACATATCTGTGTATCATGTCTCACTGTAGGAATGCTAAGTTGTTCCTGTATTCTTTTTGACAAAAAAAAACTTCGTTCTGAACCTCCATCTAATAAAGCTCGAACCAAAAACTTTTCACCAGCATGAAGTACTTCCACAACGGCAGTCGGTAGCACCGTTGTGCTATTATTCTGAGATAAAAACAGACGAACCGAATCTTTTGTAGAACTACTATTCCCAGGATGGGAGGAAGTCATTGGACCGTGATCTGAACCTCCATTACCTTTCTTATCGTTGTAATTCTCATTATTATTATTAATAATAAATTAAGCATTGTGTGATGCTTTTGTTGACACTTTGCACACGAACTTTGACTAGGGCATTTCTCTTTGGAGTGATTCGGCGATAAACAGTTCACACAATATTTATTTGCATACGCGAATTTCATCGTTTTATAGGGCGACAACAATTTAAATTGGCTACAATGCCTAAGAGAGTGATTCTGTTTACATTTTTTGCACACAATTTTATCATCGTTCGATTGGGAGTGGAATGTTTGAGAGCTCGAAAAACTTCGGCTTTCTTTCTTACTTGCTCTTTTTAAATGGCTTATAAACTCTGCTCGAAAAATATCCCTAAAAGCGGGCCAATTTGAATAACCTCCTTAAAATGGCTGTATGTCACAAGGCGGAAGTTTAAAACTGGTCGCTCCTTGATGACCCATGGTGGATTCTACCCGAGTGCTCCCATTTATCTTTGGTTGTAATTTACTTTGAGTTGCCTCAATAAGTTTCACTCTACATTCCTGAAATAATTCATCAAATGTGGCTGTTATCTCAACTGGATCTCCAGCTAAATTACTATCACCATCTTCCCTCATATAATTCTCGATACTTTCGACTAAATTATTCCAACGCCGCTCCAGCTCATCATGCTGCAGCTCCAACGCTGCTGCGCTATCAACTTTTTCAAAATTCGCGTTAAATTTCTTAACGAACCCTCTTAATTGAGTGTTATCAAACGATAATGATAATGAGTGGTGCGACTCACTTTCTTCTTCTTATTAGTCATGTTGATGTTCCTAAAAAAGCCAAATAAAGCTTATTACTGATTATTTTATGTTTTTGTGTATTTTGGGCTCTATCGATTCCTTCTTTATTAATTTCAAGGAGAAATACGTGGCAACACTCTTTTCCCAATTTGTTCACTCACCTCTCACAATTATCTTATTTATTTATTTTATGTATTTATGCAGTGTTGCCAACATTTTGAGAGCTAGAAGCGTAATTAAAAACCAGAAAAGCGTAAAGGCGTAAAAACTCCTTAAAAAAGCGTAAAAAGCGTTATTTATTTTTTTTTCTAACCAAAATGGCAAAATTGTCAATAAAACATTTTTTTTAAACTAAATACTGTTTTATTCAAAAATTATTTCGCATCTTTTATAAACATTTCATGTATATAAGTGCACACATATTTTTAAAAAATATGATAACTTTTGACAGAGATGTCACATCGCTTAATGACATACCGCGTTTGCATTTGTTCCCGTACAAAATTCAATTGACGCAAAGAATGTTGTATTAACAACATTTTACATGTGGTTAAAACTTACAGACATATACATTTTTACAAACAATTATGTTCACCTATAAAACCCATAGCTTCAAATGCAGTTGGAATGTCTGCATCAGTTTCTTCATTTTGCCATAAGACAGTTTGTAAAAAATAGTTTGACTTTTTGTAAACTTCCTGTGTAGAAATCTGTTTACAGACATTTGACGGCAGGTCATATTTGTCACAGCACGTATTCTCTCGACGAAGGCCATATTTAATATGTAAAATAGAATTGTTCTGATTTGTTCTGAATTCTGATTTTCGATTTATATAAATTCATAGCTCTGAATGCTCTTTCTACTTCTGCATTTGAGTATGGGAAGTTAACCAGTCTTATAACGAATTCTGATAAATCTTGGGATTTTGCCCTATGGAATCTTTGAACTCATTTACTTCTACCCATATCTATCTATTGTCAATCTTAGTTCCATATTAGAAATGACATCCGCGTTTTTTTCTTGTTCATTTTACTTTTCCTTCAATTGGTTTATAATACACAAAATTCTTCGTTTTATTTTGGTTTATTAAAAAAGAGTTACATGTAAACAAAAGAAATTCAATGAAGGAATGAAAGACACCTAGAGAATTTGCAGTAAAGAACTTGTGTAGAACTTACCATAATATCAAAATATTCGAATGTATAAACATTGCCACATTTTAAAATCTAAAACCCGCTAAATGCACCAACAGAAAAGATGAAAAGCGTACGCACAGTGCTTTTTTTCGTTACGCGCTATGCCCACTATTTTGGCGTTTTGGGCGGTCTAAAAAGCACCATAAATAGCGCGAAAAGCACTAAGTTGGCATCGCTGTATTTATGTATTCGCGAACCGTTATCTTTTTACTGCAAAAATCTCAAAATTCCAAAATAAGATTTTTTCGAGTTTTGCAACAACAAACATTCTTCACAAGCAATGTTCAATATTATGTTATTGTTATACGACGCGATTTTATTTTTTTATAATGTTTTAATTACATCAAAACCAAAAACATTTTGGTCAAACATCGTTTTAAATTTTGCAACGCAATGTTGACGTAGGTCACGTACACATATCTTTACCAATTTTGTGGTAAGTTACAGCCAAACATTTGTAAATTATATCCAAACATTTGTAAATTATAGCCAAACATTTTCGTAGAAATTGTATCTTGATGTAATTTACAGGAAAATAACTCACCTTATTCGTTGTTTATTGCAGCCTTGTTGCTGTTGATCAGCGTAAAATTCTAAGTCGATTTAGCGATGTCCGTCCGTCTGTCTGTCTGTTGTAATCACGCTATCTTTCGAATTGAATTGAAATAGAAGGCTAAAATTTTGCACACATGTTTATTTTTCTAGTAGGCAGGTTAAGTTCATAAATGGATCATGTAGGTCCACGTTTTCATATAGCCCCCGTATAACGGTATCTCCCGATATTCGGTATTTTGATGATTTTAGCGACATTATTCACCGGAATTGTTTCACATTTGGTATTTGAAGTTCGAAATAAATACTACAGCCTAAGACAGAAAATTATCTGTGCAGGATCACGTTTCCGTATAGCCCCCATATAACGGTACCCCTCTATATTCGGTGTAAATTTGCGTATACCGAAAGAGAGTATTTGGGATACAAGGTATCTCGAAGAGGTAGAGAGCCTTCGGAAGGACACGTTGAAGCAATTAAACAGTACCTAAAACCAAAAAATTTTAAGGAAGTTAGTGTTTCGCCATGATCGCAAACCCCTTGTACGAACTGACGAAAGACGGAGTTAATTATGCGATAAGTTAACCTTAACCTGTATTCCGAACTTAGCGATATACAGCCCTCGTAGCTACATTTCGGGTCGATATTGTTGCAGAAACAGTACGATTGTATTTTCCACTCAGTGACTTACTTCTTGAAGAGAACTCAAGATGCGGAAACGAGATACCACAGCTTCGAGTTAGAAATACCAGCTACTATCTTTTTTCTAAGGAGCGTTAGAGTATATCTTGAGTGAATAAAATTTAAGATTGTAACAGATTCCCATTCGCTTAAATAAACGCTTAATAAGAGAAATATTAATATCCGAATAGCAATGTGGCCTTTGGATTAAGAAAATTATATCTACACAATTGCACATAGCCCAGAGACAAAAATGGTTCACTTGGACGCAGTGTCAAAAATTGTAGCGACTTAAAAGGTAAAGTATATCGATTTTCAACCCAGGTTAGAGGCAGGGAAATATGTTATTTGAAATCAAGATAGGAAGAGGGGACCGTGAGTAGATATGCATAACACATACATAATTCCTTAATAGGAATGCAAGCCAAGCTTAGTGATTAAGTAGCACATTCTGATTAGGTGAAACAACTGAGTATGTTAGAGGTTGCATTTAACAATACAGTCAACAGGTCGATTGGAGATACACCGAGTTGGGTTTTGATTGGAGTTTACCAAAGAGGAGAAATCGTAGACAAATTATACGCATACCTAGAAGAAAACTTTTTGGTCCCTGTGGGGGTTGGGGGAATATAAAGGAGAACAGGGGCTGATAATACGAGGTCTTAAAAATATAATGAGCAGCGTTCTCTAGAAAAGGGGGTAGTGTGGACTCGTTTAAGGCCGGCGATTACGTGGAAATCAAAAATTTAGGCACAACGGTAGGAGTTAATAACTTAACCCCAGTCACTATTGCCAGGTTGGCTGAGCTGTCGATAATAGTAAGAACACAACTATTATATACGAAATAGCACAACCATGTAGTTGTAAGAGATTAATATATGTATCCTAAGATAGAAAACATTGGCGAAGAATAAAATACAAAACGATATCCACTTCAGTAATTTTAGATGCCCTTGTCATATCTGAAATGAAATGAACCTTCTACCTAGATTCCCATTATTTGTGTTTCCTGTTCCTTGTTTCAATTGGTCTGTTTTTAGCCCCTATTTTCGAAACTCATCCTGAATATGTTTCTTTTTTAAATCACTGGTTATTATAGAACCTTTAGATCCAAATTCTAAATTAGAACTGATTTAAGAATATCTTTCATAAATCGTATTCTTATGCGTAGTGGCGATAATTCAAATTCATGCAACTCCAATTGTCTGTCCGTCAAGTTTTATTTCGGTGGGCTGCAATGATTCGATTTGTATCTTCGCATCACTGACGGTTTCGCCAATTGTTCCCGAAGCTTACTTTTGAAATCCAATTTTAATTGGTCTGAAAAATTGTTTGAGCTTTCGACCAGCACTATTCACACAGAGGATATTTGGGGGAACATAATACCATTTGTGTCACCAAATATCCGCTGGCGTTGTTCGTCAAAGATACAAATGACAACTTGATCATTTCGGTGTCAGTCAGTCAGTTTCACATACAAATTGTTTGTATTGTTTTTGTCCAGATGCAAACGAGAGTTACTATACTGCTTTAACACATTTTATTTAAATGATTGTAGCAGTCGTTGAGCCGTATTATCGATTACCTCCTGCAGTTGTGGCTCTGCTGAACTCGGCGTAATTGCAATTGTGCTCTTTGGCAAACTCCATTTTAAAAACAATTATATTGAGATACGACGGATACAGATTTGAGCCCTTTTCAATCGCACGTAATCTGGGCTATATATATTTGTGCTTTGTTAGCTTTATATCCAAGAACTTTGCTAACGTTTTTTCATCGCTTGTAGTAGGAATACTTTTTACAATGCTCTAGCCGTACTAACGTTCAATACCTTTAGGACGAAATGGGCTTTAGTTATCTGTTGTTTTGACCGCAATAGGCGGTTTGGCAG